GTAACAACAGGCTATGACTGGCTTGGAGGGGGCACAACAGAGTTTCGGGCTATGGGGTTTCAGAGGCTGCGAGCTCCCGTTACAGCCCCAGACCAGCATTTCGGACATCTCGCTCTTGGGGACAATCGACGGACAGAAGCCGAAGGCAAAACCCCAAGATTCGTGCATCGCGTCCTTTTTCGGTGTCCCTCTAGAGGGTAGCTGCTGCGGGAGCGTCGGAGCAGTGCAACAGACCTTTGCATGAGAAGTGCCGTGCTAAGCCTTCTGCACACGATAGGAATCTAGCTATAGTCTCCATTGTAGTTCCTTTTAAGGGTTACCTTTTAGGATCCTGCATACAAAATTGGTTAAACCAAAAAAGGAACCACAATGGAGACTATAGGTAGCATGCTACGAGCGGTTCACCTCTACAACGAGGATCAACGAGGCATAGATTTGTGTGAGAACCTGGTTGGGTCCAGTGACGGCTTAAATATGTTCGACAATCTGGAAGGTTCACTGCAATCAAGGCGATGATGCTTCGGCCCAAACCCAAGCCTGAAGCTTTGAATCGATTTGTGTTTTGGCGCGTCGGGTTTGGAATCTTACCCTGAACCCTAAGCCCTGAACTAAATGTTAAGCCCCTGCTTCCGGAAACCGTCTGGCATCGCTTGGCTTCTCAAGGGCAGAATCAAGCGGTTGTGGATGTAAGAGGCAACTTTGAAAGAACGAGGGTTCCGGGTTTGGGTTGCGGACATTTGCAACCCGGGTTTTGGATCGAGTTTAATCACCACGAACTCTCTCAAGTCCACATCGTGCAAAAGTCGTCGCTTGGTAATATAGGGGCCTCAATGCTTAGAATAGGGTTTTGGGGCCCATGATACTATCATTAGAATAAGGAACCCCCCCAAAATAATATAGGTAGTTATAACACGGAACCCCCACAATAGTGTAGGTAGTTATTGAGGCCCCTATGGTATTCGTATGTACACTGTTCGCAGGAGCAAGGCGAGCTTGTCCCCGCGAGTCCAGGCTGCTTTCAGGCACGATTCGAGCAACCGCTTTGCCAAAATGCCTAAAGGGCTTTGAGTTTAGGGTTTTAGGGTTTAGGGTTTTAGGGTTTTAGGGTTTTGGGTTTAGGGTTTTGGGGTTTTGGGTTTGGGGTTTTAACTTCCTTCACATTTCAGAGTTCTACTCGAACTTCTACTCGACTTGGACATACTTGGCTCGCAATGTGCCCTACAGGAAACTAGGGCATGCAAGAACGAAGTTGACAATGTGGCTCACGTCCGTGTAAAAGTACTTCGCCCAACATGGTCTTAACAACACCATGTGCGCACCCGCAAAGCGAGCCCCGGGCTCGGACAACATGAAGCCGAAACCGGGGTGGATGGTCCATGCTGCACGAGTCATAGCGGCTTAGCCAGGGCTTACATCTTCGCGGTTTACGATACGGTATGTCGGAAGTTCATCTCATGCGGCCTTCAAGATCCAGAGTCTTTTCGACCGTGTTAGTCAAAAGCAACGGCGCAAATGTGGGCAAGACTCATTATCTGGCAACCGACCAGCAACCCGACCTCTGCAAACCCATACCGTAGGCAAACGTACTCAACACCATTGCGCTGAGATCCCTTAAGCAATCCTCGGGTTGCCCTCATTTAAGGGGTATCGATTCCGACAGGAGGCCTCACCATAAAAGAGCCTCAGGGTGCTACTGGGCCACCTAGATCCTAATGCTAAACCATCAACCCACACGCTAAACCGTTCCTAATCCTCGTCGCGATCCGAGTCAGAGCCAGATCCTGTAAATTCACCATCAGACTCCGGCTCAGCGCCGGACCTGACAAGGAAATGCAAGACTAAGACAGGGTCCACATGATCTGAATGAATGCATTATATGCATATAATACATGTATGTATATGTGCATATCTATATATCTATATATATATATATATTTATATACATACATATATACGTATATGTATATATGTATATACCTGCATCCCCGCCTCAGGCTGGAATAACAGTCTGGCTAGGAATAGTTGCCTTTCCCACCCTTATCCCGGGAAAATAGACTGCGGGCTGAATTCCTTGTTTCACGGGAATGGGTGTCTTGTGTGTCATTGTAGAATGCTATATAGAATGTAGTGGTCCTTAAGAAGACGATCGGGCCGATTGCAGCCTCTTTGCTCTGGCAAACGATGTGTTCCACAGCCAAAAATAGGCTAACCAGCTTCGCTTACCCAGTAGTTGCTGAGATTACTTGGTGCAAATCCTTGTCAACTCTAAAGTGCAACAGCAATACCCCGAAACTCTGGAGACCTCTGGATGCTAGCATGGCCGGCCATGCTTGTGGCTTCCGAAAGGTGCTACCACCCCATCGTTGCATTGCCTAGCTCGGAGAGTGCTGTGGCTGCTCATGTCATTTGATGTCATGCAAGCTTTTGCTGTGCATGCCTCCAGATTTGATGTTCAAAGGTGCCCCAAGCCCTGACTCCCGTTCGTTTTTGGGCTCCCCTAATGGCATTTAAGAGTTCGCCGGTGCTGGTCGAGGAGCTGATTCGAGAAGGCCAGGGAAGGTTTATGTTCATTCCGAAACCGAACTTGAATCTTATCCCTCAAGCCTTTTATCGCAGGCTTGGAGAAGATGCCCGACCAGTACTGGATTCGCTGCCAAGAGCTGGTTTATGCAGACCAGGCGGATCCCTCGAACATGCCCCAGGCAGGGGCGAAGGTTTTCTCTCGATGCGGGTGTTAGTGCTAACACCTTGGGCGACAGGTTCCGATCCCGACTTCGCACATGTGGGCTATGTTGCAGAACTACCGAAACCATGGAACCTGCTACTACTTGGCGAAAGTAGTGAAGAAGTTCCAGTGAAAGTTTCTCGGATAATAGATCAGCCCTGATTTGCACGCATTTTTCCATCTCATACTCCTTCAAGCAAACGATCTCAGGCACACTGGAATGGATGCCGTGCTGGTCCTGCCACGGGATGCTTGGGCTTGGAGTTCGTAGGATCAGCTGTGGAGCCGATGACGGGGAATCGGGGTCGCAGCTGAGATTGAAGATGCTTCCGAAAATTGTGCTCACTCGTCAGTGTGCATAAATGAAGCTACAGCACTATGTCGCCACTGCTTGTCTCCGCCTGCACTCCCCTCGCAGGTGATCTTTGACTTTGGCTTGTGTTTGGCAATCTCGCAGGCTTTTGTAGTCCCTTGGAGCAATTAGAAGCAGGATGTGCGCTTATGAAGGGTGGGTTTCTTTGAGACTCATGGTTATTTCAGACCCAAGGTGGGAGGCCTTCTGCTGCGACTTCGCGATCTCTCGAGACTCTCGAGTGCCCCTTTTGTGCATTCTCTGCTTTCTGCTCTCGTCTGTGAAGCGGAGTTCAATCATGCTTGAGCGACTTGTGTTGTGTAGGTTTTGGGTTCAAGCTTGGTTTCTCTTGGGGCTTAGGGGCTTAGGGCGATCCTGAGCCATGCCTCGCAAGGGAACTGTTTTGGGTGATCCGGATGCCTTGTCGGGCCTAGCAAAAATCTGGGACAAGAATAAAGCAATCCGAGGCCATCTGTTGAAGACAGGAAATCTCTTGAGATGGCCCTCCCCTGACAAAGTCGGCTGCATCAACTTCGAAACTTTGGGACTGAACCACAAGGTCCTGACAAGACTGCTCCGACATTGGCTGCCTAAGATCGACTCCCTGAAGACTGTTAACATCTTTGCTTGCAGAAAGGAGGCTGGATTCTTGATTAATAGGAGTGCACGATTTGGGTTGAATAATGTAGCATTCCTGAACCCTGAAGATCACCGACTTTCGCTCCGATCTCAGCCTGCCGGCCGATCCAGTGAAGATCGCCTGCGATGCGGGCAGTCTGAGGAGCTTCATGAGCTACATGACAAAGCGGCACGATGGGTCAGCTCGGAGGGTGCTTGGGTTGCATTTGGGGTTGTTAGGTTTTGCATGCGATTCGTGTGGGACGCCTCAGAGTACTTTAGACTTACTCTCAGAGACCGATCTGACCGGAGCTTCCTAGCTTCTTTCGTGCATACCCTGGTTAACAGACTTGAGCTTTTGGGCTGGGGTCGGGGCTAGCAGGAATTACGGCAGGGTTCGAATGTATCGAAGAGTTTGCCAATAAGTCGGGAGGTGCAGGATAATAAGGTTAATCAAGCTGCTGCATGCATAAATCCCAAGGACCCCAAAGTTGCTATGCTTTTCGACATCATCTCCGAGTATTTCGAAGTGTCGCATGAGGTTGTGGAGGAGGGCGAGCAAGCCATTGAGGGTGGAGCTTCTAGTGAGTGTCTTGTGAAGGGCGAGGATTTCGATGAAGAGGAGCTGGACGACGAAGAGCTCGCTACAGCTCTTGGAGCTACACAGCCCGCTTCAGCTTCGGGGGGCCGCAAACGTGAGCGAGCTTCAGCTTCGATTGCAGGCTCTTCGGTTGAATCCTTGCACACCGGGCTAACGAACGACCTTGCGAAGGTTTCCTTGAAGGACTCCCCGCCGCCCCAGATTGTCACGACTGCAGCCGCTCGGAAACCCGTTCCTGATTCTGTGCTCATGGAGAAGCGAGTCAAGATCGAAGCCCTCAAGCATCTTGTTGAATTGGATTTCCTATTGCTTAGAGTCTAGTTCCTTGGCCTTAGCAGAAATGTGATAATTTCAGGCGGCAGATTGAGATCAAGAAACAATCGATGCAGTGTGCTCGGCCGTGGAAGCGAGCGAGGTCGGACGCACAGGAGGACACCCAAGTCGTGGATCTATCTCCCGTGGCAAAGAACTTGCAAGCAAAGTTCGATGCCGTCCAAGATAAGGTTGTTGCGACCAAGGAGGTTACAATTTCGACTTGGGCGAGTTCGGTTCCCGCTGATGAGGATTCGCAGGGGCCCGATGATCTTTTCAATGCCGAGCCCCAGGAATTCTTGACCCGAGAGGCCCAGTTTGCTGACCGCAAGCAGCACGAGGATCAGGACCTGGACGATGAGTGGGAGTCGCCGGGGAAAACGAAGCCAAAGGCCAAAGCAAAGGCTAAGGCCAAAGGGAAGGCTAAAGCGAAAGGCAAGGCTGCTTCGAAGAGTAAGGCAAGCCCCGCCAAGCCGAGAGGGAGGCCTCGCAAGAGGCCAGCAGCTTTGGCCAAGCTCGAGTCGAAAACCGAGGATGCAGAGCAGGATGACCCTGAGGAGGAGCACTTCGAGTCGACCGGCGACGTTGCGATCGAGGACCCCGGGGCGAAGCATGAGGAGGAGCAGTCCGACGAGAAGTTGGATGAAGAGGACGACGAAGTCATGGAGGGCAAGAAGCCAACAAAGGCCAAGGCTGAGAAAAAGGCGCAATTCTCCAAGAAGATCGTTGATGGTGGTCGTGTTTCAGCAAAGACCCCTGCTGACAACAAAAAGGAGGCCGAGAAGCCGCCGATCTTTGCTCGTCGCTATCGTCCCGGTTTCTGTGTCTTTGCCGGCAAACGCTGGGATGCTGTGAAAGCGAGCTTCGAGCTGCACATCCAGAGACGGGTGAGAACCCCTACAACGGTGCAGGTGCCTAGGCTGCTTATAGGGAGTGTGCTGCACATTCATAGTGTAAACTGTTGTCCGGAATTCTAACCTGCTCAGGCTCTCTTCTGGACCCATTGTGTCACCTGCCTGGACGAGGCGGGCTTGCACAAAGGAGCCAAGCCGAAGCCGAACGACAACACTTGGAGTATGGCGAAACTTTCGAAAGTGTGTGCTAAAGCCGCCGATTCCTTCTTGGCCCTGGAGTCTACTCAGAGCCCCTAGACTTGAAAGGATTGCAAGGTTTAGGGGTTTTGGGTTTGGTTTCTGAATTGATTATACTTGCTCGTACCTGGTGAGTAAGGTAAATCCCGACAAAGTCCCCGAATCAAAGCCCAGGTTTCCTGATCTGACCAAGTTTCGAGCCGATTGCCGTGCATCGTTGCCCCACCGGTGACGACAGGGGTTTTTTGCAGCGATGCTGGGGAGTCAAGGATAAGCTTCGGTACCGAATGTGCTAAATGATTCTAGGTCTACACCCCGAAATAAACTGTACTTCTACACCCCACAATAGATTGTACTTCCTGCCCGAAGCCGCCTTCATGTGCCAGCAGCTGCTTCCAGATTGAGCCAGCAATCTGGACGTTAATCCACGTGCCGAGAACCTGGTCGCTTTGCGGCCGGGCACAAGGGGTTTGCAGAACTTCGCAAAAAGTGTCCCAAAGAGCCATTGCATCCAACTGTTCCTGCACAGTGGTTGTGTTGTTCCTCTTGCGGACTTATTAGCAGGTACAGAGCTCTTGACCATGCCGCCGAAGCTTCGCCCTGGTATGCTGGTCTACGCCAAGTACGGTGTGGTCACTTCGGATAGTTGGGGCCAGCATGTTTATCTGCTGTAAATAATGGACTGCCTTGGCTTTGTGAAATGCCGGTGTCATGCTGAGTGCATGTCTAGCAGCGACTGTCCGTGGCCACGTTTTCGCCAGCTCCGGCAATGTAGCGGAATCAGAGAGTGATATCTCGGCGACACATCAATTGGATGCTTTGCCACTCGCCTCGAATTCTATTTTAAAGTAGCTCCCCAGCAAGCATGTGCAAAAGGGTTTGAACGTCATCTTTATCTCTCTTACCCTACAGAGGCCAGAAACAAAACTCCCATTTCCAAGACTTCACCATTCACCCCAAGCTAACCCGAACCTCCCCAAGGTAATTCTATATGTATAGAAACAACACTTAATCCTAAACCCTGAACTCTAAAGCCCTCCCGCCCTTTCGGAGGTTTGTATGGCAATCTAGATCTATATCCTCACCCGCAAAGTCCGAACTGGGACCCAAAAGAAGCGAACAACCCTTATGCTGGGTCGCAGGTGCATGCTCTTCGTGCCAGCCGCATTGCCGATGAAGTATCCTGACGGGCTATTGAGTGCTTTGGTCCTCTTCGGAGTTAATGTGCGAGATTGGGGGTTCAGGCTTGGGTATAACTAGGTGCCTAAAGCTCTCGTCGCTACCAGGTTCTTGTGCCTCGAGGCAGACATGTTAAAAACTTTAGGGTGGCACTTTTCTGTTCTTCCGGTTTGGTAACCAGAGTGACACTAATGGTTAATTCGGGGCAGGATGTTGTGCAAAGCAGCTGTTGCACATAATATTTCGGTCGTGGTGTCAGCAATACTTTACAACAAAGGATGGATGGTTTACGCCCAGTACTAACTCCATTCCCTTGATTACAATGGTTATGGCAACCCTTCAGGCCCAAGCTGCTGATTCACCAAACCAGTAGTACCCCCGAAGCCCGGAATCAAAGTTTCGGTGGTACGATTCTGCTATCGCACACTCTTCTAACCATACTCACACCTTTCAGCCCCGTACGAGCCACGATGCTTTCCAGGTGCTTCTTGCCGGCGACCAGCGAGGACACCAGTCATCCTGCAGTGTCTTGCCCGGGCAATATGGTTGTTACTCTTTCGGGGCTCTTCGAGTGTCGTTGCACTACCACGGGGCCGAGGCTAGTATCGCAGTTCTAGAAAAATGTGGGGTTTGCGGGTTTGGTGGATCTTCGTGGCAGCTAGTGAATTTTAGCCGAAGAGTGACGGTGTGTCGTGGAGTCGCAGGCTTCTCAGCAACCAAACCGACGTCCTCTTTTGCAGCGATCCCGCAGCCCAGGTTTCAGATCTTTGCCCGACTTCTCCTTCAACGATTTCCTCGGAGTCGGAGGCCAGTATGCTTGCAATCAGATACTTCTGTTTCGTAGCTATGCCCACGAAATCAAAAGGTGTCTGTGAACAAAATAGTCCGAAGCTGCACTTCAAGTCGTGCGATGCGAAATCCATGGACAACTCTCACTCTTCCTGCTCTTCCAAGGATCGGTCGTCGAGCTGCATTAGCCACAGCCCCGAGGTGAGCTCCCGCTGTGTTTATGCACTGACTGTTGGGAGCATTCCGGCTTCTCTCCTTCTGAGAGTGTATGTACGTAGGTATGCATGCATGCATGTATGTATACATACATGTGTGCACATGTATGTATGTATGCCATGTATGTATGTTGGTAATAAGTAAGCAGGTAGGTATGTGTGTGTGTGTGTGCATGTGCATGCATGTATGTGTGCATGTGGGTGTCAAATACATGTCTAATAATGGTTTGGGGTTTATTTGGATTTGGGGTTCACGCCTAATTTGGATATTTCAGGACTTGGGTCGTCGGACTTAGGCCAGCCCTTGAAGCCCGACCGTAAACCCAAATCTAAGACCATAAGCCCCACATGCCCTCAGTGTATGTCTGGGTGGGTCGGGGCGGGCCCTTGCTTGCCAAGCAACAAAACCTTCTGCCGCAGATCGTCCGCCCTCGTGGTTGCCACCGCCGCCAGAAGCAGGGGCCGGCCAGCCTCTCGTCGGGGCAGAACTGTGGGCTTCTTTTCCGGAGAAAGCCAGAGTCGCAAAGCTAAACATAACTAAGTAGTCAAGTTCTGCTTGTGTCCTTTAAGTCATTAAGTGTCCTTTAGAAGGTTTCTAGGTCTTTGTTGCTTCGGAGCGGTTCTGGCTACAAAGATAGGATGTAAGCTGAGGCTTGAAGCCTCACTTGCAGGTTTGAAAGCTTGACTTTGCAATTTCGACAAAAAGAATTCAGCCGACAATTCCCGCAATTCAGCCGACAATTCCCGCAATTCAGCCGACATTCCCCGACGCAGCGTTTTTGGCTGTTCAGCTGGGACCCTGCAATGCTCTTCACAGGCTACAACTTAATCTTTGAAGCTCGGGCTTGAAAGGCATCTTCTCCAATTAGGCTAAATTTGGGTCGCTAACAGCATGTCTGGGGCTTCGTGTGAATCCCTGGAACGTCGCCTGGCAGCTGTCCAATCTGCTGCGACCCTGGATGTTCACGATCCTGACCTTGTAGACATGGAAGCTGAGCTTCAGGTGGGAGCTAGTCGAGGGAAGGTTGCAGCCTAGGCTTGATTAAACCCTAATGGCACCCTAAAGTCCCTAAACCCTAAATGCCAGCCTCGGTCCCTCTCTCTTCTCTAAGTCTGTTCCACTGGCTCTCCCAATTCCTCTTCCTCTCCCCTCTCTCGGTATTTCCTTCCCTGCCTCTGTCTCTCTCTCTCTCTCTCTCTCTCTCTCTCTCTGTCTGCTTGGCCTCCCTTGTAACCTTCTCTCGCTTTCTCTCTCTCTCTCTCTCTCTCTCGCTCTCTCTCTCTCTCTCTCTCTCTCGCTGTCTCTCTCTCTCTCTCTCTCTCTCTCTCTGTCCCTCTCTTGTGTCTCCCTCTCTCTCGCTCTCTCTCTACCCTTTACCTTTCCGGGCAGGCACTGAAGCTGGAGTACGCCGAGGTATCCTCCGGAATGACCGAATCGTGCTGGGAAACCGTCGACGATGGTGATCTTGAGATAATGATGAAGGTTCAGGTGCAACACTTTGGGTTAGGGGGTTGAGGTATAAAGTGACCAAACATTTGTGTTTTTAAGGTCTGTTTTCTTTCTTTAGGATTAGAGTGATTAGAGCCTTTTATTGATAAGATTCCGGCAGGCTTTGGCATTGCCGGTGCCGGTGCAAGCCATGCAGGAATGCAAAGCAGAACCGGAGGATAGTGCTGCAACCCAGCAGGAGCCTCAGGAAGAACTCCCTTTGCCCACGCCGGCGACACCCAGCCCGACCCTTCTTGAAGACTCCCTTCCCAAACCCTCGAGCCCTTCCGAGCCTGTTTCATCGATTGAACCCACTCAAGTGGATGCTGCTGCGGAACCAGTAGGACCACTGGAGCCTGCAGGGTCGCACGGCCACGACGAGGACAAGGACGACGACAAAGACGACGACGAAGACGACGAGGGGGAAGATACTTATGCAGTAGCTTCGCTGCCGCCACAACCGCTGAGCAAGGATGCTGTGTACCACCGGGTGCGACGGATCATGCAGCCACGAGCTGACGGCTCTTACTTGGCGGCGAAAGAATTTCGGGATCAATACAAGGACAGGATCCATGGCCGGCCCAAACTGGATGCGATGTTTGAAAAGGCCGGTTACAACCCGGAGCCTCTGTGGGAATTATCCTTTGAAGCTTTGGATGCCCTGCTCGCAAAACCGAAGCCAGCCCCAAGCCACACCAAGGAACTCTTTGTCAAGCGATGCCGGTATATCTCGGAGTCGATCCAGGAGGAAAGCCTCGAGATCGAGGGCGAGTTCTTAACGATCCAGGATATGATTGACTTGAAATTTCCCGCCCACAAGCGAAAGGGTGTCGTCGCTTATTGTGAGAAGCGGCCACATCTGAAAAGGCCTGTAGGGACTCTTCTAGCAAAGTAGCCTTGATCTTGATCCCGTGCTCTTGTTTGCTTACAGGCAGTCCAAGTATGGCTGTGGCACCATGTATTGGACGGATGTCCGTGTAAAGGGCAAGCTGACGAATCTCGATCTCAACTCTGAGCATGGGCATGTTGTGTTCTAGAGTGTGATACCAAATAATCCCCAAATGCTTTGCGACTGAGGAAGACCAAGCGACAGGTCTTTCAAGAGGCGATGGAGTGGGATGAAGAGGCCGATGGTAAGAAGCCTTGCAAGAAGCAGAAAAGCTTCAACGATTGGAGTCTCATGGCTCCTGATGCCGAGGGCTGCTCGACCTAATGATCCTTGCATCAGTAGATAAACCCTAGAAAATTGAGCTAGATCCGCAAACACCGACAATCCCGCGACTCTGTACCCTTGCTCGGTTCTAGAAGCCTTTGTTAATTCGAGACCCGAGACCCTGCCTGGATCCAAAAACCACCCGCAGCCCAACTAGATTCTAAAACCCGAGCAACAGGACCCCGATTGCAGGATTCTAGAACCCCGACAAACCCGCAGCCTTGGCTAGATTCGAAAAACCCTAGAAGCCCGAAAGCTAAACCCTAGCAGGTTGTAACTAGTGCCTAAAATCCAAACAAACCCCGGTCCCTAAAGCTTACTTTTGATTTTTCTTCCAACCTCCATTGTCAGCCGAGACCCTTCCTTGGCTGCTGCCCTCACGCCGGACACCGGGCTCGAAGAACAGCTGGACGAGGACCCCGAAGAGGAGCCTGATCAAGGCAAAGCCTTGAAGACTGGGTTTCCGGAAATGGAGAAGGATATGGCCCCTTCTGCTTTGCTACTACCAGCAAGTAGATGCATTTCCCGGCATGCTAAGAAGCTTGATGGGCTGCTACAGCGGTTTCACAAGCTTCCGGATGGCACAACTCTTACTGACTTGCAAAGTTCGCTACTAGGCTCCATTGCTTGCTGGATGCAATTTGGCTGTGTTGTTGTGGTGTTGTTTCCAGTGTTTCTTTTCTGTTAGCTGAGGCTCAAGGACAAACTTTGCAACACGCTCAAGAAGCTGGAGTCAAGTGCTGAATTGATGCACCGTGATCATGGTGAGGGTGTGCTGAATGGTTTCAATCGCAAGATACTCGTCAGAAGAGTAACTACAAGCCACAGTTGCGGGCCCCGGGCAACTTTCTCAAGTGTGCGAACCCGAGCAGTTATAAGGAAGCAGCGAGACATCACGAACCAGCTGGACGTCGGCCAAAAGCTGTTCCACCGCTTATTGGTTTCTCAGTATCTCTAACCTAAAGTACTTCAGCTCTAAGACGGACAATATGTTGCGGTTTCAAACCTCCAAACACTTGAGCAAGTCTTTGGATTCCCAAGCCCCAAACAACGGACCTCCACAGTCTCAAGTCTCAAGTTGACAAGAGCCCTGGCTTTGAACACCAAACCTCGAAACCTTAATATATCCCTTAGCTTTCGAACTCTTAATCTAAGCCCAAAATATGAAACTCTAGAGCTTCGAACCCGAAACGACCCAAGCCTAATCCCACCCAAAGCCTCGACCCCTAAACTTCCAAACCCTATACAGTCTCAAGCTTAGATTCACTTATCCCCAACAACAGCCCAGTCGTAAAATCCGAGGGTCGTCGAGACGATGCTGTTGATGGACAGGGCCAAGCATGCACCTGAGTGGTACTTTCAGCTCAGTGTTTGCACGCACGTTCTTGCCACGAAATACAACTTTTGCCGCACATTAGGACCCATGCCCCGCCGGACCCGGACAAGAAGTCGCATGCTGCATCAACGAGCCCTTCGTCGAAAAACGGTACTCCAAAGTCCAAACCGAAGGCTGCGGCTAAGGCAAAAGCCAAGGCCAAGCTGAGGAAAACCGTGAGCAAGCGATCCAACACAGACTCGGAGCAGGCTGAGGACACCCCGGCTGCCAAAAGGAAGCGAAAGTAGAGCTGTCGTGAGCATCGTCTTTTGGGTTTGTTTGACTGCTAAGCTAAGCAATAATAGGTGTACATGAAGCAGTAGCCGCATGTTCCCACAGCATGCTCAGCTGATTTTCTCGATTGCCGACAGAAAGTTTGGCAAGGCTTTCACACTTTCTAGCTGTTTGATCAGCTATGCCTCTAATTATCCAGTTGTTTGATCAACTGACCGGGGGAGTTGCTCGATGGTGCACACTGATGTTGAAATGCGCCGATTTGCTGCTTTCTGCACAGCCCGAAGCCTAAGCCTAGCAAAGCAAGCCCGAAGCCCGAAGCCGTCCTTCACTGAACCTAGGCTAAACCGAGAACGCCCCAAACTTTGTAAACAACCAGGAACTACTTTTATTGATTTGGGGCCACCTACACAAGCCCTTCGTGATCGTTTCGTCAAACATAGTCATAGTCCTTGGGAGTCCTGAGTGATCTATATTCCAGAGTAGGTCTGCATAGTAGATTGGTTTGGTTACAGAGGTCGACTAAGCTTTAAGCCCTACTAACCCTTCTATAGCCCAGAAATCGTTCCTGTACGAGTTCACCAAAAAACGAAACTCCATCCGTATAGCCGCAACCTCATCCCCTCAGCCTTAGCCGACCCTGCATGGCAGGTCGTATGGATGACGATGACGACGAATCAGAGTTTCTTCAATGCCTGGCTGAAAACCTCGGCGACGGAGCACTTCGTCTGAAGATAGGTCCCAAATAAGGTTGAATGCCCTCTTCGAATTCAAACCCACTATCATTATCTGATTAGGACTCCTATCCGAAACCCAAGTGCAATCGCGAAGTTTTCCCGCAAAGCCCAAACTCCAGAATTCCTTAGGCCCACTCCTCGTGAAAGACAAAATGCAGCCCAGGCCACGGCGAAATCAGTGAACAGGACTCTAGGCACAATCGTGCCTCAGGGAAAGAAAGTGAGTGCCACGAAGGATCCGGAAGCTTTCGCCGAGAGGTTTTTTCGTACTCGGGGCTTGTCGCTACCAGTTCCTGTGGAAGTCATAAACCATGAGGGTCAAGACTGTATCAAAACATGGCATGTTCGGCCCCAATCCTGGCTAGCCTACCTAATGGAAACCTCACCCGAGTTGCTTGGCGGAGACGATCCTTCAAGGAACTTTCATGCCTTTTGGAGCATGTTTCGTTGTGGCCATCCTCATCACAAAGTGTTTGATTCACCGCTAGGAGAATGTTTGGAGCAGGTTGTGCCCTTGCTGATACATGGCGATGAGGGTCGGTCGCAAAAGAAAGGCAAGTGCATGGTGCTAAGCATGCAAAGTATCTTGGGTTCTCTACCAGACAAACCTAGCACTTGCACATGTCATCAAGATCTATTGCAATCCCCGGGCTTGCCTTCATTCGGTGCCGCTGGCGATTCTCTGGATGATTATTGCTTGCCAGAGGAGATCCGTGAAACCCTCATGAAGCAAACAACGAACTACCGAGGTTCAACCCTTGTATCCCGATGGTTGCTCTTCAGTCTTGGTTCTTGGATTTACCATAAGCAGCCTGAAGTGATGGATCTCCTGCATGCACGGCTGGCCTCTGATTTCAGAAGCCTCTTCGAAGAAGGGTTTCTCGTAGGAACTCGTAGATACTACGGAGCCGTCATTGCTGTGAAAGGGGATATGGAATGGCATAAGAATTTGTTTAACCTGCAAAGGTCCTATGCTAGAAGTGGTACTGTCACCACTGGACCGGTTTGCCACATGTGTGAGGCTGGCCAAGGAGGTCCTATGTTCGAGGATTATTCCGAATCCCCGCAGTGGCGATTGACGTGCTTTGCTAGCCGTCCGTGGCCGGAGAATGATCCTCACCCACCACTCGCGACCATCCCTGCATATCCTGCCCCTGAAGAAATTCTCCAGCTAGACCCCTTTCATCTTTGTAAGATGGGAATTGGAAGAAACATCGCTGGTGGTGTGCTGGTATATTTGGTTCGCCACAAGTTTTTTGATTTCGAAGGCTGCGAACACGAAGGCTTCTCCTTCCCTACAAGGCTCCAGAGAGCTCACCGATCCTTCGTGCTTTGGACCAAAGCTGAGCGAAAACACCCTTCCTTACGGAGCTTTTCTAAAGCCTTCCTGAACATGAAGAGCCTGGCGAGTGCTCCTTGGTGCAACACCAAAGGTGCTGATACCACACTGATGATGCAATGGTTGCTTTGGTACTTGACTCTGGTCCTTCGCGAGCCACCCGAGCATGCTGATACCACTATGTTGCACAAGATGCGACAGCTCGCCCAAGCTTATTTGAACATGTTTTATTCTATCCACGGTCATGGACTCTGGTTGGCGAGACCTTGTGCACGGAAGCTGTATGTGGAGATAATGCGAGTTCTCCGTGGATATCAGCTGTTGGGATCACTTTGCTTGAAGGCTGGCTACCGGGCATTTATTCAAAAACCCAAGAATCACGGAATGCATCACGTAGCCTTTTCCCTGAAAGAACAGTTGTGCAGCGGCAGCCAGCTAGTTTTAAACCCGGAAGCCATGTCCTGCGAACAAGACGAAGATTTCGTGGGAAGAATTTCTAGACTGAGCAGAAAGGTGGATGTTCGCAAGCAGGGCTTTCGGGTTTTCAATCGCCTGTTCTTGAAAATTCGAGCTGTTAGAAGACGGCGGAAAGAGGCTAAGAAATGATCCCCTTTCCTATACACTTAATAGCCTTACCTTTAACTTAGGCTGATTCCTTGAATAATCCCCAAGCTTAAAGTAGAGCAAACTTCCCAAATCATTCGCCTCATCGCCGCATCGTCGTCGACGACCGCAGCAGCAAAGGCAGAGCCGAGGGAAACATCTTTGATTCGTGATTGAAGGGCTTCATACTTCTCATACTTTACTTCAATGCCAAAGTTACAAGGTACTTATGCCTTACGGGGTCGGATTGATGGTCGTTTAAGTGGGAAATGAACTTTTCTGCTATCGTGGCAAGAACTTTGAGCCTATAGCTTCTTGACCAAAACTGATGCGGGCTATATTTCTTCCTTCAGGCTGATTTATCTTGTGCGGGCGGCTTTCCCGGTCTGCTTGGCCTCAGGCCGTTATTCCGGGCCGACAGGGTTGTAGGTATGTATATACGTATATATGTATATATGTACATACATATCTGTGACATATAGGGTTGTATAAGGAGCACGGGCAGTGAGGCAGCTCTCGTCTGTGTAGCTGCAGCAGCAAGTCGCAGGTTGAGCCTGAAGGCCTCCACCGTGAGCTGACGAAACCCCAGACCCGGGACCTTCAATGGCAATAGGGTTTATAGGGTTTAGGGTTTATAGTGTTTATAGTGTTTATAGGGCTTATAGGGGTTTAGGGGTAAGGCTTATAGGGTTTATAGGGTTTAGGGTCCTCAACCTCTAACTCTTCACGTAAACCATAAGGAATAACCTGCACACTGAGCCCTAAAGTCTACGCCTGCGACTCCGAAGCCTAAAGCGTAAGACGTGAAATATGAGCGGCGTAGGCCTTTGAAAATTGACCACGGGTTTGACTCTGACACCCGAAGAAGCTTTCCTCTAAACTCTTAACCCTGAAACCTGTCCGCAGGAGCAGCACCTGACCGAACATGAACTTGAACAGGCAATAAGCCTAGACGAATCCCCGAACCCTAAACCCTGAAGCCTAGGCCTAGACTGCCTAATATCCCTATACCCTGATCACCCGCACAAGGCTACCATCTTCCTGTCCTCTAAATGCACCCTCGAACCTTCATCCATGCTTTGATAACCTTGTCTGTTAAGCCGCGCGTAAACGAATCTGTTTGCTAGTCCCCTTAAAACCGTTTTGAAGTCGTGTACATGTATAGCCTGAACACTGAATCAGAAACCCCTGTATCCCCAAATGCCTTGCAGACCCGACACTCTGATCCCACCTGGCCTCTTCTGCTGCCCTCGCGCGCTGCGGGCTGAGCGGCAGAGGCAACGGTGGATCGGAGCCCAGGCTAAGCAAACCTGAGTTGGCGCTTCAGGATCGTCGCCGTAGGGTCGAAATTATAGGGCTTGTCGGGTCTTACAGGGGTCGACAGATAGGCATAGGGGGGCTATCATGCTTCATTAGGGGTTTGCTGGACAGTGGAAGACCCAAGAGTTTTTGATGGCTCAGGGCCAAAAGCTTGCTCTTCTTTTGGAAGGAAGGTCGGGCAAACGGGAGGGGGCTTCGGAAGTGGGGGTTTTAAGTGTTCGCAGTTTATGAGCTGAGTATGGTTCACGGCTTCGGAGCTGTAGGTGAGAAACGGGCCTTTGGGTGCGGGGGCATTAAGGCATTGGGGCTAGCAGGACTGGGACGTAGATTGGCGTGGCGGGAGAAGGCTTAGCATTGAAGCATGCGGGGTGTGTGGCGAAGACATTCGTACCATTTCTACCTGCAGTGTGGGGTTAGAATTTCTGCCCAGGATTCTCAACAAGGATAGTTTGGCGGCTCTAGGATTGCAGAGGTTTGCTTTCGGAATATGGTCATTTTTGTTGTTCTTATCTGTATATTTTTATAATTTTTATAGTTTTTGGAGGGGCTGGGTGGGTGGGTGGGTGGGTGGGTGCTGCAGGTCAGGTAGGAAGATTCAGGCGGAAGGGGATAGGAGTTGGGCGTTTCGCGGCTTCGATGAATGAGGCAAGGCGTGGGCGGCTCTATAAGGTATGAGGCAACTTATACATACAAACATGACATATGTGTACCTGTAAAAGGAGTCCGAGTCGACAAGCTGTGCTGTATAAAGATGCTTATATATAAGCGCGTATGTACATAAATCATCGATATGCTATGCAGAGTTGAGGAGAATATAGGCTTGACTTTGTGAGTCGATGTTTGCTGTTTTGGGGCTTGTTTGCTTTCGGGCTTTCGGTGTCGAGCCAACGGTTGGTAGGGAGGCGGAGCTCGAAGAACGGACAAAAAGGAAGATGTCGAAAAACTGCAGAGTCCCATTGGTCGTAAGAATCCCGAGCGCACGAATCCGGAAACTCCGTGCCGCACGGGGGGCCACAGTTGGCCCCAAGTAGACGACGAGCGCCTCGGTGCAAAGTTCGGCTTGGGAGTTGGGAGTCGGCCATGTTCCAGGGAATTAGGGTTTAGTTAGTTGTGAAGCATTGAGCTTCAGGCTTGAAGGGTGAAGCGGGCTGGTAAGGGTCGAAGATTCCGGTTTTAGAACTTCCGGAACTGCCGGGGCTTCTGCCCTGGCCGTGGTGCCTTCAGCACCACCACTTAAGCCTGCTCTGGACATACCGTCTTGATCATGTATGCCTCGGCTCTCGCAGCCCTTATCTCTGCCTCCATGCGCTTTTCTCGCTCGTCGTCCAGCTGCTTGCGTGCCCTCTATCTCTCTTCATGTCGTTGTTGGTGTGTCCTATCTGCAGCTTCATCCGGACCTCGAGCACGCTTGGTCAGGCTTTGTAGCAGACCCACCAAACTCTGTTCTGAGCTCTAACACTCTTTTGCGTCAGGTCCAAGCGGATGACTTGAGACGGCAGCCGCACAATCTACTCTCGCTTCGGCTCCGCCCATGTCAAGAGCCTGCACATTTGTGCCAACTTTGCTCAGGGTTTGAGGTTTCAGCTGTCTGGTTTATGGCGTCGGACCAGCGTTTACAGTTTACCGTTTACACGGTTCACAGATTAGGTCTTAAGGTTGCGGGTAAGCATTTTGTCTCGGTTTACGGCCTGGGATAAGGTTTAACAAAGGCTCCAAATACTGGCTCCAAGTAT